TTCTTTGTTTCCTATTATCGTGAGCTCATCACACCCATTCATAATTAGTCATCAATACTTGACTACCATTTTGCCCTCGGCTGTGAGGTTCATCGCAGCCGCCACTTGCGAGGAGAAGCAGAAAATTTATGTTTGTTTAACGCGGACGCATGATGTACTCTGCTTGCAAAATGTATTGGTTTCCATGGATTTATCATTGGATGATCCATAGCGTAATTTTAGTGCGCGGATCACGTCCAGAAGACGTGCTATATATTAAATGAGCTCCTTGTAAACCTTCGATTCAGCCTGATTGTTAGAAATGTGAGGTATAATAGAACGTATATCTAATTTTTTTTTTGTGTTATAATTTCTGCTTCGTAGATCAGAGATTTTATTAACTGTTATTGGATTTTTTATCTACCAGGTTAGCCGACATAAAGAGGCTGGTAGTGGGGGGTAGGTGGTTCGATCAAATTTTTCGCGATTGAATTATCTCATTTCTGAAAACAGTTAATTTGTCTTGGGGTGTTTATGGAAAAATGCTGCCATGTAGGAGGCATCACTGAAAAAGTGTACTATTTAGGCCGAAAGCCTGATTTATTTAAAAGCCTTTATTTATACCAGTCTATGTATTAACATAGCCATCTAGAAAAATTCGAAAGTATTTACGATTCTGTACCTGTGATCATAGTCGGTTTCGAACCGGGTGCGTTTTCTTTCTGTAGTAGAAATGTGATATAGTAAAAGTTTTATTATATATATATATATATATATATATACGTATAATAAAATTACGCAAACGTGCATGGACTAGCTAGGAGAAGCCAGCACTTTCATCATATAACTACTAGTAGCTAGTGAAGTCTCGGAGTCTCAATGCCAGGGCGACAATTGCTCTTACCAGCATTTTCTGCTGCTTTAATTTTCGAAGAACATTTCTACTGCAACATAGCCGGCTGATCTTGTTTGTCATGCGGCCGTCAGACTTTCATCGTTAGGCACTTTAGCTATAAGAACGGTGAACTCGACGCCAAAAACCGGTTTCCTAACTATTGACGACATCGGCTGGAGGCATCCTATGGCGCGCAGACGTAATACGCAGAGCGTCCGACTAAACCAGCTTCTATAGCTACGGCCATAGGTGCCATCAACGCTCATGTGAAACATATGCTTTGTCGCTTGCTGCCATCTAATGTTTAATGTGACCAAGCATTGACGCTGCTGGTACCCCGCTTCCCTCTGTACGCTCATCTTATCAAGGCTCTGATGACCGTCTGTAACGTTGCTGCTCAGCAAAACTTCCTTGACTCGCCGCCGTATCCGTTTTCCCGTTTATCTTCTTCCAATGGCGTCATCAAGTACGGGCACCGGCCGTCTCACTGCTGTATTCTTTTCACGAGTTGGTTACGCCTATCGATCCACCATATTCTGTACTGGATTACAGTACAGGCGCCATTGCTACGATTCCAGATGATTTGTTAGGAACACTGCCGACTCTTCAGTTCTTTTGGTGTCCCACAACGATGTCGAGATGTGGGGCTGACTCAACAATTGCAGCACTCTACTAACAGGCTCACTTTTACAGAGCACTGTCTATAGTGGATCCCGTTTGCGGTAGAATTTCTCTGCTGTTTCTGTAGCGGTAAATAGTCACTGGTAGTGGGGGGTAGGTAGTTCGATGCTCTAAATACCATAAGGAGGCTAAAGTTGATTTGGCCAAATAGGTTATATATAATATAGGAAACCTACGAGGCCCAGACAAGCGAACAGTCGCTTACCAAATTTATTCGACTTGGGCTCAATATTTTTCGAAAGCGGCCAAACGCTGGGCTCTGATGGAGAATGCACAGTCAGTGGTGAAATGGAATGTAGAATAGGGCAAACGGAAAGGATTAATTTTCCCTAATGCTAATGCCTCTGCCGCCTTCACTATAATGGTTTGTTGATACAAAGATACTTGGACTTGGAGTGGGAAGACGGCAGTCAAGTTTAAAAATACGGCTACTGGCGATTAAATTTACTATAGGAGAAAAAACAGGATATTATAAATGACATGTATATTAGTATCTATTAGTAAATATATATAACAGAACCTGCATAGGCTCAACCTAAGAGTACTAGAAAAAGGTAAAAGAAATTTTTTATTTATATATGGCTAAACAATGAAAGAACTAAATATATAGCGTTAAGGAAGCTGCTGCAGCTGTTAGGCACTCGAAGACGACTCAGGCAAAGTAGAAAACCAATCAAACATGCTGTTCAACGGCCAGTTTGATAGAGTGCCACACTAATGTACGTCGTTGTATGTTATTTTAATGTTTGATGTCCGTTAATTGCTGGAATTGCTATAGGACACGTAAATTATGAGCTAAATTATTAATTTTTTTTTAAAAAAGCTTCGTTCCGAACCCAGTTCCTTAAACTTAAAGCAAGATGCTCTTAATAACACATTAACTATATTAACTTGATGCATTAGCTTGATGAAGAATAGTATATAATAACAATAAATAACTATCCATAATGCGTATCCCTTATAGAGGTAAGTATATATGCATACAAGGCATGTACCTTCTGTAATCCTTTTCAGTTACCTCCGTGGCTTTAAGCAAGAAATCGAGTCGTACATCTGATATTTTTCATTTGCCCATGATCATTTCATGCCGGTTTATGGTTAGCTTTTCGCCTTAGGCCTCTTTTCTATCACATCATTCATTCATTGTAGATTACTCAAGAACAACTAATCATTTAGGAAATGTTGAAATTCAGACCTACACGTGCTGTTGCTGTTGAACCTCAGTACAGCCGACAGATGAAGTAGAAATAAACAAATGAAGCTCTCTCCTCTAACGTGACTTAGACTCTTTTCTTCAATATCAGCTGAATTATGTCTGCTGATCATAGGCTAGTAGTAGGGGAACAGACGTAAAAGACGTAGAAAAGGAACGTGAAAAACTCTGACGGGAGTGGAGGGGTGGATGAATGGCTAGCTGTCTGCAGCTAGAACAGGAACTAGAAGTTCGCTGTTTTCGCGCACCGCGCAGTCTTAACAAATGCTCCTCTATAATCTCTCACCAAAGAAGGGCAGCCCAGGAGCATTAAAAACAGCGTTTGGTGGATCTTGCTAAGAATTTGTCATACCTCGCCGCTAATTGCATTTAGTAGGCATTTGCGCTACCATAAGGTAAAGTACTTAAAGCCAAAAACCCGAAAGTAACGGTGATCGGAAAAGAGAGATTTTTTTGTATTTATGTTGGGATAACGGAATAGAAATCTTGATGGGGAAACCATATATCCAGCTTACAACGAACAAACACGCGCAGTACACGAAGTTGCCCTCGTATAATAGAATATAACCAATATAGCGCTTTTTAAAGGCGGAGTATTGCCAATGCATATAAGATATTTAGAACTAACATCTTACATAATACAACAATATGGCATAAAATCAGCTCTAAAAATGAATTCGTATCTTGGCGGGAAACAATCCCGCTGCCCCGGTTGCTGAATTGTGAGCGTTCATTTGCATTTTGTTTCTAAATATGTTTGGTGAAACATTACTACAGCTATTCTATTAAGGCTTTCGAAGTTGGGACTAAAAGTCTTGCAACTTCGGTGACAATAAGGGGAATCAATGCTATAAAGAACTGCCTTCATGTACGAAAGGCTCTAACGCGATACTTCAGGTTTTATTTTTATACATTAAGAGTGACATACTACTGAGTCCGTCTACCGGGGCATGGAATACGTGCAATGAATGATAAAGCGACGATATGTCCAATTTCATGTGTATAGCACTTAGGCAGATTGAGTATAGGTGTCTGAGGGCGTGCCGCAGACGAGTTTCTGAAGGCTACTTTAACGTCCGAACAAAAAATACTTCATAAAAATTTACCTTGAAGATATATCCCTCACAAAAGGAAATAAGAAATTTTACTGGCGTGCGTCGATCGCAAACAGTTACGTTGTGAAATAGACCCGTCTTTTATATTTAGGCTCAGTTGAACTCAGTCTACTTGCGTTGAACCTTCGGTTGAGCGTTCGCGCGAAGAAGTTCCTCAGCCCTGATAACTTGGCGATATTTCGGGAGCCAGTTGTAGACCGTTTAAACCAATGCACAATTGACTGATGATCCTACTTGTAAATAAGCGTGCCGCGATCTTAAATCTGGAAGCTACGATATGTTAGAGACTATTTGGAGCTTATATTTTGCTATTCTTTATTCCATTATTTGAAAATCCGCATTTAATTCGTATGAATAAGCTTTATCAGCAACTAACCAGTACGTAGGGTTATCACATACAAGCCGACGTAGAATACTGAGTGTAAAGTTAAGGATTATAGTAATGTCAAAGAAGATGATTGGCATCTACAAAGGCGATGCAAAAATTCAGATAACATTAGTTTCGTTAAAATCACGCCTCAAAGCGAGGTGTTAGCTCAAAGTCTGGCCAACTTCATTCCTCTCAATGTTTTGAGTTTCTTCAGTCTTGAGACGCGAAAAACAAGTTTAGTTGGCGAGCACAAAGTTTCATCACACAGTACTGCAGGCCTACTCTGCCATATTTCCAGTAGGAAAATGGGAACTTGCTATTTAAAAAAGCTGTCTTTAGCCCTTGCTTTAGTACCTTCTGGCCTTCGCTGCAGAAGTTATTTGAACCTTTTATCTTGCTGAACATCATTGCTATTTAGGTTTGACCGGTTACTTAATACGGAAGACTGTATGGAACTGTGAACTTCAGAGTATTTTGCCTCCGGCTAGAACTCTGTCCCACCTAGCTTTCAACTTTTACCTTTAATACGCAGGCAAGTTTCAGATAGTTATTATCATGCTATTATCAGCATGTCGGAAGCGCCATGACCTTAGGACAAACGCAGCAAAATTGTGATGATCCTTTTAGGCCACCACATATCTCGGTTACTATATAAGAAAGCAATAACCTACAGAAGATAAAAATATAAATCGTCGCTAGTTTCGAAAGCTTCTGTATTGCTATCATTGTTTCCTAATTTATTTGCAGAAATTACAGTGGCGAAACGTCCGGTGGCGCACAAAAAATTGGCGGACGCACTTCGAATCCACCCGGTCAACAGCCATCGCGACCGCAGCAGCGCAAGAAAAATCTCAACATCTTCGAACGTTTTCGGGTGTCTAAACAGGACCGTATAGCGGCCTCGGTGGCGCAACACATACGCGCTGTCCGAGCTGCCGAGGCTCTTGACCGTAACACGCGATTCCGGCACTCGCAAGAGCCGCTGTTTACAATGGACGCTAAACCTCCCGGTAGCTCTGCGGGTGTGGGAGGTCCAGCTGGACATGGCGCGACTGCTGGGCCTCGATTGCCACCTCAGCGAAGCTCTTCCTGCGGAGAAGATACCAGTCCAACAGGTGGTAAGTTTCGCCCTATATTCAACTGTCTAATGCTCAGTAGATTGAGCTGGATATATGACGTTGATGAAGTAAAGTTATGCATTACCTATGTAACAACATGTTAGCGGAAGTAGCAGAATACGTTTTGATTTTAGTGCGCCTACACGTGCAAATGGTACAAGCATCGTATTATAAATGGATGTATACGCGTATACACATAGAGCGTTAAATATGACACAGTAATGCTTACGCATGCTGGGTACTATGTAATGTCTCTGCAAAAAACACGTATTAGATCGTACACACCTAACATATGCGTAGACATTCTGATTGGAAAAAACAGTTCCTTTAGGTTGAAGCCTGCTATTCTTGCTTTCTCTGCATGTGAACGGTGAAGTAACATACTGCATGTGCGGCCTGCGGTGTAACCTTCATCTAAAATATGTTCTAATCTTATTAACCTTTTAGGGGTAGCGTTCCACGTGGTTATTTGTAGCGAGACCTAAGCAGGTTGAAGACAACACTTAGATATATGTAGTCTAATACCGCAGTCGTTGATGCTTTTATGATGAAATTTCTTCAATTAGTAGATATCATGTAAATCCCGTTTTTCGGTGGACCTTATTGACGGCCAAGCTCGACATGCTGTTTATACGTTGTTGACAACGTCGACAATGAGTTCGACTACCTCTCATAGGGTTTTCGTAAAAATTCCGTGCCTGATATAAAACTCATATTTGTTGCGCTTTGGAGTTATACAGGCAACTAGCGTGTAGACGTCTGACACGTGCCACAAATGATTCATTTACCTTATCGTCATATTCGGAGAGGTGCAATTATTTAGGACGGCTTGGTTTTTGGCGCCTATCTGCCCCTGAACGATTACTCGAAGAAGAAAAAAGAGATATAATTCAATTACGCATGAAGCTTAGCCGAACACTACTAGTTGGTCATACGTACATACGATATCATAAGGGCTGTAAAACGCTGAACGACGCTGGGTTCCACTTAGTTTGAGTGCTGGCGTAAAAAATGTACCCTAAATTCGGATAGGAGGAACAAGTGCTTCATTTGCAATAGCCATGTCGGTTCACGATATTCATAATTTCGGTAAACCTGAATTATTTGTAAATTGACCATACTGTCGGACATGTCAGGTTATTTGGTACCGGTCTTCGCGTAGAGCGTCCAGGCCACGTCAAGTACCCATAGAATCATAGCACAGAGTAAGTTTAGCCATCAAAATATCCAACATTCAAAGTAACGTAAATCTCAGAAGCACGGAACAGCTATTCTGGTGTGGCGGACTTGGAAGCAATAAAGAACTTGTTCATTTGTAAACCGACTGAAGTATAAGCTTGGGACAGAGGCTCCGTAATAACTGGCACTAAACACAAAGGTTTCATACGAAAAGAAGAAAAGGAACAAATTTATTAAGCGATCCTATAGCTTGCCGAAAAGCTGTTATTATAGAAGATCCTTATATTACGTACTTGTTTACGTTGATAAAGTATTTTAAACAAAAATTAACAGTAACACCTGAATGTGTTGATAATATCAGCGTGAGTAAACAATGTTCAGCGAATAAAAACTTTGTAACTTTACGCTAGTAAAAATAGTGAAGTATATAATTACTCTAAAAGAAATCTAAGACATCTATTTTATTCAAAAATCGAAAAGGTAGAATTCATGCAGACTCATAGTTTAAAGATTATACCAAGTTTTGTCTCTGACCTACAGTCTGCTCATACGTAGTACAAGCTAGTATGTCAGCGAGGCAGCGTACCGCTCGGTAAGATAATTCTTCTTGTAGGTCTCTGTTGTTAGATATCTAATATATGTAAATTCCCGATCACTGATCTTCTTAAAGATTTTCAAAGGACTTGGTTGAAGAAACTTTGTCAAGCTCTCTAAACTTGGCCTTTGCAGTACATTTCAGAGGCGAACTTAAGCCTTTATCTCTAATGCTAGGTGCCATGATTAGTCTAGGAAATATCAACGCATACTAAAGCCTATTGACGGTGTTTCATCTGAACTAACTAACATTGGCACGCGGTTCAGGAAAGCACGTTGTTCGTGTGACAAACCGCAGCTACTTATAGGAAAACTACATTGTGCTGTAGAAAATTGTTACTGAACAATTAGACTGAAAGGGTTACATTAGCGTTGGGTGACTTGCTTTTTTAGTAACTTTTCCAAATCGATAACACCTTCTTGCATATCCACAATTTCCTGCACCGCTGCTTCCTAATATTTTCGTAATATATGCTGGGTTACTCTACGACACTCAAATAGCACGTTCCTTGATTCCGTTCGATAACTACAGCGGCATCGACACAGTGACACACTTTTAAACATGAATGTAGGCTTTTCACTTTTTTGTATAATACGTTTTTGCTATTGTAGTCGTTAGCACAGCAAAAAAGTTAATTGAGGTTAGTAGACCCCATGGACTTTTTCGCCCCTGGTTCTTTCAATATCAGCAGCGCACTGGTTGGCGGGCAACGTTCCGCTGAGAGAATAACTAGCGCTTGACGCCGAGCGTAAACGGATATTCGGTAAAAAAAGAAGGAGCGACAGTGATTAGGATTATAAGTTGTATTGCGGGTATCTTGCTTCGTATTGGTCTTAGTGTGCTGTTTCAGAATTAATTGCGTACGCTGTGGGTCCTTTAGCGATTTATGTAAAGCTACCGGAACAGAGTTGTCTTTTGATGTCCATCATTTTATCCGATCGACGCCTTTTTTAGAAATGTCGTTTCTCCGCACCAGTTTCTCCTTTGCCTTTGCCTTGCATTTCTGCCTTAGAACATACCCCCTGAAACTCTTCTTTATCATGAAATCTGCTGCTTGCCGTTGCGCTCGGTGCCTATCCACTAATAAGTGGCGAAGCTTCCGTGTCCAGCTAATACGTTCCTAAATTTGATTCGTTGTTCCGAGTTTTTTCGTACCGGTTTTGAAGCCTGCGACCTCCGGTCGACGGAATCGTTTATGCTCTTTATACGACTTTGTAAAATAAAAGTTATGAATCAGATATCTCTTGACTTGAATATAGAAAGAAAGAAAGGAAGCAAGGAGAGGGTGGCGCCGTCCTCATCTTTATCACCGCGGCGCTGTCGTTGTCTTACCACCCGTTGCTTCAATTGGGACATGGAGCGTTAGAGTTGATTCTCGTAGGTGCTTCCAACAGCCCGGTAGGCTAGAACACAGCTGGGTTGTGGTAACAGTAACACTAGTGGCAGGAGATGACGCGGCAGCACGGAATACAGGAAACTGGCTGCTCCACATGATTTGAACCCATGTACCATGCTATCCATACCGATGAAAACTCAGTTTGCCACCTTTCCTTTTCGTTTGAACGAAGGGCAAATCTGAACGTAGCTCAGGCCTCTCGATTACTATTGTTAGCTTCCCAACAGTCGATCAAACTCTATTGATTCGTCGCGGCATCGAAGTTTGGACCATAATAAGCCATGGCGTAGCATTGGTGGGAACTGCTAGGTTAACGGTCGTTCACAGTAAAAAAGCTACCACCACCATTACTCATTAGTATTTCCAAGATGCGTATACACACACAACTACATACATAGACTATCTGTAAACAGCGGAACTTCTCCTTATTTACGAACTTCTCCTTCGTTTTTCCTTTTTTGTGAATGCCTTAATCCCTCGTAGACAACGGCAGTCCCATGAACAAAGGCATCTAAAATGAACCACAGCTCTTGATTTACTGATGTATTTTACAGACTGACGAACGACAAACGACCACTTTCGCCTAACCGCTGACGATATTGCCATAGTCTAGTTACAATCAAATGTTAACAAAGTCTTACCACTTAGTAGTCAGTTATTCCAAGAACAGAGATAAACAAAACGACAGTTGTTGTAGAACTGCCATTCAGACAAACTATGTTGATGGCTATGCGACCTCTACAATACACTGCGTCATATTCGAATGGCCCAACCGATGCCTCTCAATCAGCTGCCAATAATCCCATGCATCCATAGAAATCTGACAATGTAATAACCGCTTTCCTATCGACAGTACCACAGTTTTCTGCTGAAGCTTGCCTCTTGCATCGTCATTTTTTTCATTTCCCCTAAACTCGCTTATTATAGCCAAGGGCAATCCCTATCAACTTGAGCTTGTTTCCGTGCCAGAGTGAAAAGACACAAATACGCTTACTTTCGTGCATATAATAGGAAGCTGCATATGCGGACGGGCTTGTACATAGGGCTTAATCTGCAACCTCCTGTAACGAAGCTACCTTCAACTCTCCGAAAAGCGTTAGACTAGCTGTTCTCAGCTGGCTTTTGACACTATAACCGAATAGGCGCGTGTATCGCTTCTTGTGTCGAAGTTATTATCACGACAATGATGCGAACTAGAATAGAAACAAAGGAAAGAAGAAGAAAAAAAAAAGAGCTGCAGGCTAATTTCGCCTATTGGAAGGGTATCAAATCCGTTGAGGACAAACGTTCAGTGTGCGATGGAACATCGACACATATAGTTAAAACTGGATAAACCTGGATTGTGAGTACAAAGTGACATCGTCCGTATTCGTTTCGGTCCTCTCTCTTAACCGGTTGATTTCTTATGATGAAATTGTGTCCATCAAACTCTTTAGAATAACATGAATGCAAAATCAGTAGTCACAGATTCATTAAACGTAAGTTTTGGCTGTCCACTAGTTTTTCTAATCTAGAGCTTTTCTTGCAAACTTGAATCAAGAATAGTAACTAAACTTGTTTAGAAGTATGAGGCTTTAAATAGCTACACGTGCCCTTTTGCCAGCCATGGGTAGATCCTGCAACTCAACGTAGTAGCACGTCTTGCGCTGCTCCACAGGAAAGCGTTGTCCATTTGATTTCTACTCACATTATAAACCGCAGGTAACACAGGCAATCGAACGATGAACTTTTCCTTTAACAACTCCGCTCTAAATAAACTATAGTAAGAGTAGAAAACAAGGTTACGTTTATTAGAACTTCGTTTCCACTAGTGTAGTACTCGGAGTGAACAGCAGCTTCTGCAACGACAACGTCAGCAAAGGCACATGCGGTACCCCCTTCGAACCCCTGCACCATTGCTGGAGCCGCGTGAAGTAACGAGCCAACTGCACCGGCTTGAGCGCTGTTTAACCTGGAACTTGGCTAACTGAATTAGTGGCTTTTGCCAACGTCTACGTCTACTTTTGGGGCTTGGATGTGCCAGTATAGGGGCATTCCTTTGACTGGGTAGGGAACTTTTTAACTCCTCTGTGGGTACGCTCAAAGTTTCTAGGGACTATCTGCAATCTCTTCGTGGCCCGATCGATGGGCAGTGTACAATCAGAGCCAATAATCGGGTAGTCTCATTGAGTCGAGCCTTGTCTTTAAAGATGATTTTTGAACACAAGAAACAAGCTTTAGCTAGCGGTGGCTTTTCGTAAGGATCAGCGGCCGAATCTTACTTATCGTACTGTTACTAATGTTATAAATTTTTTCTTAATAGGAGCACGTAGATAGCTCGAGCTTTTGGCGCTGCATCGCCTCCGTATGGCGGGCGAAGAAATTTAAAAATGAGATAAGAAAATGAAAACACAATCCCCGGATCCCCCTTGCTTCTGTTATCTCGAAAGTCTGCTACTGCTTTTGCTATTTAAACTGTGTCAGATATTCGCTATATCGGGCCGGCACCGAGAGTACGAAATGTTATCGTACCTTCAACCCCCTGGGCAGTTGTCAAAGCGTTGGTAGAATGTTGGATCTCATCGGGGAACACCGGAAAAAATGCACCGTAGAGGTGCGTGAAGTCTAGGATATATGCAAATAGAGTATTAAGAGTGCGCTTCAAAGATCGCGAATTGGAACGAAGGAGAGCAGTAAAGCGTCAAACGGCTCTTGGATTTCGGGTTTACCAGTTTCGTACGTGCGCAAGCATTTGAAGAGCTGCAAAGGCTGAAAATGGGACTGGCCGCATAACAAACGGGGCGATCTAGTTTGTGAAAATATTAACATTCAACTAACGGCTGACCCTTGATTTGATTGAATATCGGACGTGTGTCTGTGTGCTCATGTAAATAAAAAGGTTCGAGAGCATGCTTCATATCGGGGATTATAAATGAGCATGTTTTTCAGTTTCTTCTACTTAGCTCTCATGTTTTTGCTTCTGACACTATGACTTTTCTTTGGAAGGCTGGTCTTTTTTTAGTAATGCATATAAGTGAATAAAAAAGTGATTGACGGAACACAGAACATACCTACTCATATAAGCAAAGACTTGCAGAAAACAGGTTAACATTTACACTTTATAGAAGAAATCAAATCAAGAGATCTGAATGATATGGACCGGCAATGATGACTCTACAAGACATTGAGACCATAATGAAGGCAGTGTAATAAACGTATCCTGTATACTTAATCTTTTATCCTAACATAAATAAAAAGCTTTCCTACGAAAATAGGTACTTTAAGAAATAAAGGCTTGAGTTTTTATGTTGATTTGTTCTTTGCTCTTGTGTTTGTTATTCGACGGGCTATTACGGCAAACGCTCGGCACCAATCGGCGATTGTCGATAATGGGATCTTACCCATAGCTCTTTCCAGTGGTGGAGGCTCAAGGAAGCGCATGTCGTCCGCCCAGCACCGAGATCAGGAGCACGTAGACATTGGCTGTCAAACGACTGATGATCTCGTCGAAATGTGGCTACCTTGTTTACGGCGTCGTATAGTACGCCATTCAGGTGGCGAGGGAACAATTAGCGGAGGCGCTTCTGCTGGTGATGATGGTGTTAACACCGGTGACGGAACCTTTGCCGGATCGCCGGACCACGACGACGAAACGATAGCGACTCTACGACAACGCAGCTGGAGTACTGATCCGAAAACACGACAAAAAGAGGTACTATTGTGCACACCCATTATTTCACAAACATTTCACAAGACGACAGGGTAGCTAGTGCTTCTACACATAGATCTGTGGACAGAGCTGTGATTAATTAACTGCGAAATGAAAAACTTCGATTATGAAAGGTACAAATACAATTTACACAGATCCATATATTAATGTCTTAGATTGCGGTCGAAACATTGCTTGCAAACGTTAGATATGAACTTCCACGTACGCTATTGTTGCTCTCGAGTAACTATCGAATACTGTGGACCCCTTCATGCTCCCATACTAATTTTTTTTTAATGCCATTATCTTTAGTATTGTCGGCGTTTTCCCTGTCCTAAATAGGAGAAGCCTATTAGGTGCATAAAAACGTCAAAAGATTATGGTTACCAAACAGCTCCCTGTTAAAAAGTAATTAGCTGAGAAAATACGTCCCTTTTAATCATCGATATTTTGTAATCATCAGTAAGACACGTTTTCCTAAAAAACAGGCTTGTTTTTAGGTGATTTCATATTGCATAATTCTGGGAAATTTAGCGGAAATAAGCCTATACTGTTACTTGTACGGGCTACCTAAAATGCGGCCAAGCATTGCCTGGTTGTTTAAACACGGCCTAAAATGATTCGATTAAACTGAGGCATCTCTTTCGTTTAATATTCGAGTTCAACAAATAAGATGACCTCAACGAGCTGTCGCTAACATCTCCAATTAATTCACCGTTTTACTGCTGCCCAATAACAAGGCCCAGACAGCCCCAGCAATATGTGAAAGAAAATATGCTAATACGGCAAACATCGTTGCCAGTCTATTGCATTCTATTATAAGGGATGATTTACGTGCACTTCCGTTTATAACTGTGATACTCCGCGTTTTATAAAAACGACATATTAGAACAGTGAATAAACAAGAACCATTTACCTGTCTTCGCCTTGTCCCAACATGGCTTTTCCTTGAACTAGACAGAACTAATCGCCTTGATACCAAACACATCAGAAAGGTGGCAGCGTAACTGTAGTGACTTCATATAGACTTTACCTGTCTGCGGCTATAGGGGATAGGTAGCTGCCGCCAAATGTGAAGGAAAAAATAATAATAGAAGATTCTGCTGCACTTTCAAAGGCTTTAAAGAACTTTTATAGTTGGCGAGCTTCAACCAGGCTCGGTGTTCCGTAGTGACAATTTTACAATCCGGCAGATAAGTTATTTTAACTTAAATAGAAACAAACCTTTTTTTTTTTTCGATGAACAGGACTATCCTATGAGCGAGACATTCAACGTAAAGAGTATTATCTGTATTGTGAACCTTTTTTTAAAAAAAGGCACTTGTGTTTGTTAACTCGAAAAATAAAGGTGAGAATGTGTTGAATCCGCGCCTGAACCAATTGCAAGACTGAAATAGTGCGAGCATGATCAGTCTTTTACAGTCAACAAAAGTGGCACACGATATTGCAGGTGACTGAGGTACGGAAGCGTCGAACGCGCGAATACTCAATGGATCTCGCTGAATTGGATGAGCTGACATGCCTCGAGGACCCGTGTGAGGATGATGATGCTACAATCGCAGGCGACGAGGAGGTTGTATTTACGGTAGGGAAACCGACCGAAGATCCTCAGAATCTAACTAGAACGTCGAGGACGTTGGTGGCTATTGAAGATGTGTGTCATCGTGAATGCAGTTAAAATTTGGCGTTTCGTGACGTACTTATTACACTACCATGATGGAACATTTGCGGATTATTAAACAGGACTTCGTGTTTCCTAAAAGATAAAACATTAATGAGTATAGTTTGAATAGTATAAACATTTTTACAGAATTACACAGTCTCACGGGAGATTAACAAAGTCTTCGATATTCGTTATTGTGCATATTTATTTTCATGGATTTTTCACTTCTTCTTTTTTTATAGTAAAACACTGGTTATTATCTAGATGCACACATACTTTGTTAGTTAAACCTTTGTTAGTCTCCGATAGGACTGTGTCATTGCTAGAGCACTCAAAATATATGGCAGGACCTCTTGACATCGAGCTAAAAACCGCTATTTCGAAATTCCACTATAGTATGTTCTTCCTGTTAGATAAAACGATTATTATGTCTTATAAGGTCAATATGTCGCTTGAATATCAATAATGTGCTGCCAGTGTATCGCTTTTTAATTTCTACTGTTTGTCCACAAGCAAAGTTGTCTCGAACATTGAGAACGCATAATATTTAGAAAATGGTTATGATTGGAAATATATTCTATGTAAGGGATTTTGTGGCCATAGGTCGAACAAATTGTATCTTAAATGTTTCGTATTCGTAAGTAACCACCGAAGATTCCTCACAAAATCCCTTTAAAATAACTCCCACCTATCTTATTACGAAGCGGCAAGGTATTGTCTCTTAGAAATAATTCCCTCAGGTTAACTATCCCTATAATGGAAGGAGACCGAACTTTTGGGAAAAATATGGATTGTTAGCGAAAAATTAAGTTCATTTTCAACGCCGTTCTTATCTTAAGCTATCATATTATACTAAACTAAGTGTAGATATGAACTCACATGCCGGTCAACGCAGTAAAACAGTATAAATTTTACATTAGTCAAAATCGGTGAACATTTCTGAGTGCGACGATTGGCACGAATCAAGATTAAAATTACAAAAAAAAAAGACTAGTTCCGGTTTCTTCGAGTTTTACGAGTACAAGTGCCATTTCATTGGGATCCTGTCATACGTTTAAGTCGTTAATTTACTCATATGCTTTGTCGAATGGGTTTTTTTACCATTCTGGCCATGCCATCCCCTGAACATCCCCCGACATCTGATGTCAATCTCGTGCTATCTGCGAGTTCACGAATATTACCTTCGAGGTAGTCCGATCACGTTTTCGTCATTAGCTAAAATATTTCCTCCACAGCCGGAGGAACCGATGTTTCCGAAGGGACTGGCTACCGTAATGCCTCCGTGGGCCTACAAAACGGCCAGGTTCTAAAAAGCGAAACCTTGAATGGACCCACAGTACCTTGACGACGAGGACGTCGCTTTAATCACTGGTACCAAACCCTCTGGAATGACATAATATTAAGAAGACATACGAGTACGAGAGGGAAATACGGCCTTGCCGTCAGTGATTCGGCGAGAAAATCTGGTGAAAAGAAACCCCATTGTTCAGCATTACCACATCACACCTAACGTCGTACTGTGACACCCGGACCATGAAGATTATGGAGCAAATAGAAAACTATCGTCACGTGAGACAATTTCTGGTGCTCCCTCTTTCTTCCTGTTTCAAGGACTGTCTGTGTTGGCGTAAGACCAACTGCTGCCTCCCGCTTAAACTCCGCTGCTCCACAACTGTCAACATCACTGAAGCTGCCACATAGATACAACGCCTCAAGGTATATTCTGGTAATGGTGCCCGGTCTATAGGGAGTTGCGCGGCAGCTTTCCTTTTCTAACCCTCCTACCTCACGCCTCCAAATAGCCAGAAAATTACGAACTTCTTTGCTTTTCTCTCCACATATCCATCTATCTCTATGTCGGATGTCAGCAATCTCTGTGCATCACCATGCATCATTGTAGAATCGAGTAATGCCGAATGTTTATGTCCATACAGGGCCGAACATATATAACCTCATTCACTCATACCTAAGCAGCGATTTGATCGCCATATGCGCCAGAGGCACCCGAGCAGCCGTTTGTGGCACCTGAAGTAGCATAGTGCGACGTCTCCCGCGGGCTTGTAAACAACGTTCCACACGGCCTGGCGGACCGGTACTTGCGGCATGACCAATGGTCAAAGCACTCGGCTTCTTCAACGCCATCAGTCCCTAGTAAAGCACAGCCATTCGCACTTCTAGTCGGCTCATGCTATGTCTATATAGAATTCATCCCGCAAAATGGCACATAGTAACAGTAATAGTCACTGCAACAACAGCTCGGATCGCCTAGCTTCAACCTACCAACGTAGATATTGTACGTTCTGCATTTCAGTTAATTGTGTCTCATTATGTGATTAAGTGCGCTTCTAAGTATCACTATCGTAAACCATGACTGGGTCTTGTAAGAGGAACACAGCGACGATCTTATTAATATTTATTGTTGATTTTCATTTTTCGTGCCCAGGAAGCTGTTTTTGCCAAGCGCTTGTATTATTATAGTAATATAGAAACATCTTGCACCGAGGAGGCCAAAGTGGGTTGACAAAAGCGCCATAGAACGACCCAATTCAACCACAATCAGAATCCTCACAATATACCTGTACTATTTGAAGCGGGAACAGAATTTTGAGTAAGGTTAAAGGAAGAACATTTTTAAAGAAACAATATATCTACTTCATATTTTACTGCTCTTTAGAATATTTGTTTAATTCTTGTTGCTTTTTCGCTCGATAAACCTCTTCGTCTTCAGGACTCTGATTTCTATGTAGGCTCTTTCCGCATTCTAATTTTTGGCTTTTGTCCACTATGTGTAAACTTGTATAACCGTTGATGCAAATACTCCGTGCAACAATACGCGAAGCTCTTATACTATACGCCTCAAACGCATCGTGAATAGGAGCAGACCCTTTATAGACCTGCTTCAACTATTTCTGCTATTCCCCAGCAGAACGGCCGAACGCCAGTGGCGCGAGCGTTGCGTATCATGCGATGATGTTTTGAAAAACGCGGCACGCAAACGTAACATTCATTTGGCATTATTTTCATTTCGTTCTTTTCTCGACTGAATCCGCTCTTCTGAATTGCCATTGGTTTTTTCTAAACAGCTTCCGAGGGGTCCCTGAGCCAGCGACTCAGCTGCGAGCTCAAATGCGCGAGACGGAGCTGGATAATATGCACGATTTTCTATCTTTTTAGACACGCTTGACTGTTAATAACTGCCAGAAGTTTTTATCGGTTTTCTCTGTAGCTTCTGTTTTGTGACAGTTTACCTGTCCTTCAAGTTACGAAGCGTAAGTATGTTACGTGTCTACGTCAAGCTTACTCACAATTATTGTGATATCACAGTTAATGTGATATAAGGAAGATCATTCATTCATTGTTGACGTGTACTACGTGTTGCTGCGATAGAAGAGGACCAATCATGGCAATCGCCAGATTTCGCCATATCTAACATTTGGAAACGATCATTTGTCAATATTCAGGGATCTATTGTGACCCTGTTCCTGCTGTGATTGTTGATGACGGCATGGCTTCTACGGACTAATAGGTCTTTCGTCCCCCTTTTAGGGTTTACGCAACGTTTTTTTTTACGTGATGCTTTGTTGATTGCATCCCTTCCTCATGACACGAGCCGTACAAATATAGCCTCTTCTTTTGCCGCAACTTCTCCTCGCTAGCGTTTTGAGCAACTTTTCTACCCTACTTTGTGGCCAAGGTTCGGTTATAGGGACGTTCAGCCATGCAATCATAGTACCTGTTTACGCACTTCCTTTAAAGCGCAGTTGACGTTTATCGCATTAAACCATTTCAACAAGTAACGTCACACGGTTTCCTTCAGAGTGAGATACGTGAACGCCTGTTACACTGTATTTCGGAAACTCACTACGCTGTTTTGCTACCACACCACATGGCATAATAGTATACATGTCTTTTCGATACACTTTCCTTAAACATCGAGGCAATCAATCGCATCCACCAGCCACAACCACGCTTGACTGACTGATGGAGTGATGTTTGATTTCTATCACTAATAACATTGACTAATTATCCCACTGCCTCTCTAACGTATTCCCTTATCTCTTCCCTTACTATAATGCATAATAAAGTATAGTTATCGAGTAGTTTGTTAGCATATTAATTGTTTCTAATTGGCTGTAGTGGACATACGAATGGTAAGGTCAAAACGAGGAAAAATGCCTTATAATATTAAAACCATGAAGTGACAATGGATTTCGAGAGTTGGGTAACAACGATCTCAACGGCAGCGATGGTGGTGGCGGTTATAACAATGAACTAGCACTTCCTTTTTCCAATAAAAGAACCTTATTTTATTTTATTTTATTATGTATGCATTATTCGATTTTTCCAATCAGCAATAATTTTGCCTAGTGATAAAAACATCTCGAGTAGCAGGCCTTAAGCAGCACGCTTCCAGACAGGGCTGCAGCACGACCGCATGGTGATAGTATCAAAAAAACTCTTAATACAGATCTTATCACTGTATCTTACTGATAGAGATGATGAGGATGAATGGCTACAACTTGTAATGGTGATCATAATATAGCTTGAGTAACGGCTTCTTGGGTATAATATGACGCTCTGTAGCAAGGCAACAGCAACACCGATTTGGTTAGAGGAAAATTGTAATTCGATTATCGCTAACGTGGTTTGCGTTCTCGCCTCCGTTTCGGACGTGTTTGCAGACGGGTCCGGGCCAGACGACGTTCATGCCGTCATGTTCCACCCAGAAGGATCGCCGCGATCTGGGTGTCCTCTCCAAGGAAAACAGGACAGCAGTGCTGCCTTTACAGCTAGGCTATGCTGGCGCCGTGGGTGGCACGCGAGGCCGCACTGAAGAAGGACTCATGGAATCGTCGATCGTTGAAGAAAGCGTTAGTTCCAATGGGGACGAGTCATCCTCAGCAATCTACAAGAATATTATCATTAATTTAGGGAGCCCCTCGTGTAAGACTGCACAGGTATGTTTTCGTTCAGCGATCAAAACGAGAGAACAAGTCTATGTTATGTAAATAATGCTGAATGTTTTAATGGCGTCTTCTTGCATGCCGAAAACGATATAGCGAACGATGATAGTTGTTTGTAAAGAAAGATACGCTATGCTAAAATCGATGCTACAGGCTAGTATTGCACAAAAACAAACAACGGAACATTTCCATTGTGTTCACTGTGGAGATAAAGTAACAACGTTTACCATCGAAGTACTTACGGCTCACTCGACCATTGAATAGGTGATTTCCACACCGGCACTGCGCCGTTCTGGCTCCAAACCTCCCCAGCCGTTACCGGAGCACATCCATCCGGCGTGTCCTCTGCACGGAGACCCCCTGTTGGTGACGGAGTGGGCAGAGGTATCTGCGCAGATGTTGCTTCGAAATTATCATGAGAGCCAGCATCGTGCGCATTCACACGGTAACTACGGATTTCACGTAGGGCCTAAGTTTACAAAAGATAGATAGGCTCATTGCTACCACCATGTTAGAGACAAAGGACAGCGCTAGACTGTGGTTCTTTTTCTGTCTGCGCATGTGTTGCTATGTCTACCTGTTTTTGGGTGCTTCTACAGGGAGATCGGGGCATATGGCTATTTGAGATTTACACTCTCGTTTGCGTTGAGATCATTCTGAAAGAAAACGAAACTTAGACCTGAACAATTATTCATGCGTTGATAGGTTCGAAATATCTAGGAGCTTTTAGTTCTAGTTAGCTTAGTTGAAAACCACTAAACCGACCAAACGGGGAACTGGTTTAGTAACCTGCTAGTGAAGCTCACACAGTTGGGAAACTTCGAGCTCAACATATATCCTTGTTTAGATCTCGATAGGACAAAAGCTACATCCTTGTTTTGCAGGGGACTACATGTGGAAAAACACCATAGGACGCAGTGCCTCTACGAAGGGCTGTCGCCACGGCTGTAGACACACCCATGTTCGCCAAGAGACCCACTGTAAAGAGCATCGCGATAGAAAGCTAGCAGACAGTGGACAAATGAAGAATTGAACAAATGGCAGAAAGCAGCAACGAGGAAAATAATGAGCGGAAAGAGCAAGAATATCTTCACAAGCAAAGCGAAGAAAGAAGAATCTATGTCCCCTCTATCTCTCCAATCTTTATATAAGACGTAATCGTGCGAACTTACACATTCAAAGAGCACAATTGCTCTTACACACAAGCATATATACACATAGACAAGCAAATGCGCCCTACACTTGATTTGAACATTTTACGATTCCGAATTCACCCCTTGTTTGCCCCTTTCCGGCACTCCTCTCCCCCTGGCGACCACGAAACACGAACCTGCTGTCATCTGTGCGGGATGCGTGGCACGTACAGGCTAATCTTACACGATCAGTCTTTAGTATATATATATATACAGATGTTCATAGTAGATATAAGCACGTCTGTACACCATACATTACGTGGTAGTGATCCGGGCACTATCATAGCGACGAAGACAAGGTGACGAGCAAACAAACACTGGATATATGGTGGTTTTCACACGCCAAATGAAACCCAATTCAAACAAACTCGCCCGGAACTGACTGCACCAAATGGCTTGTAGTGCACTGTGCTTATTGATCAATATGAGGAAGATCGCAGTGCTATTACAAAGGGAACAATCCCGATCGTTAGATTGTAGCGAATCACATACATTACCATGTAGATGTCTGGATTTTTCTCATGCGGTGAAACATGAATCTATTGCTATGGCGCATAAGACCTCGGTAAGATATGTTGTCATATGGCTGCGTTCAATTGTAACGTGTAATATCAGCAACGACAGTGAAAACAACGCAACCCCCGGACGCAACATGGGCCCCTGAGAGCGAGTTGTGCGTGGCCGGAAGATCACATTTAATTAATTGACAGAAACGATAATGATAATTAGTAATATATTCAGTAACGCAATGATCATTATAGGGTCACGGTTAATACTCAGTGGGTCGGAAATATCCATATATATGATTGCAACTATAAAATATATAAGATAGTTGACCTAATAGAATAGGTGGAAATAATATTGTCACATAGAAATGTATTGAAAGTTACCACTTCTAATTAATGATGATATAAAAACAATTATGATACGACTATTATAACTACGATGATTATTCTAATAATAACGTAACTAATTCGTACCTGTCTGAAGCCACTGAGACCTGTATTTGCTCTCTACTTAGCACAGTGAATGATCGTAGATAATGTTTAGGAGTAAGATTTGATCTTCACTATAGTATAATTATTATTATGAGGACAATTGAATCGTTCACTCTCAGCGGAGATACATAGGATGATTGAAGCTATGTACAACATCTGAGGTATTAAAAAAGTTGTTTTAAACTTCAATTTATCCCTTCTTCAGCAATAGTAACAACAGCATTAAAAAGTGTCAAGAAAAATACCCTCAGCAACAACGACGATAATTGCAACAGCGGTAAACACCTCTATAAAACTGATCGCATCTGTCAATGAAATATAAAATGAGGTAGTTGTTATGGTGCTTTGAGGCATGAGGTACAGAAGTAAGTGGGATTACGATTAAACGTTTCAATTCACGTATATTTACAAGCGTTTAGCTATCTATAAACAGCGACGCTGTCCCTAGATGAACTTCCTCTTCGTCCTAAGAGCACGACCTGTGCTGACTTAAGCTAGTAAACAATATGATGAGAAGCGATAAACCGGAAGGGGATATCAGATGGGAGCTTCTGAAAGGGACACAGATGATGATGATGATGTTTGAATGGAATAATGCCCGTTACTTTTGTTAAGCACCACTTTTTGTTGCAAATTCTTTGCTATATATATATATATATATATATATATATATATATATATATATATATATATATATATGCGTCGAAGTAGATCTCAGGGAACCCCATCCACCGAAAGCAGATTCTGGAATTCTATCGTAGAGCCTTCGACAGCTGGACAAGTTTCGAATAGCACTACGTACAAAAACAAAAACACAGAGCACGAACAAACACTCTTCATGGGCCAACTAAAATGGAAGAGAGAACGAATTAGGCCTCGAGGTGGAGTCATATCAGTGTTTACCATCATTAGATCCGAATGAGGCTGCAGATCACTGGAAGGCGGACACAACGGCTCATCACATTCTGTCCTTGTGTTTTCCCTCTGATTTCCATTCAAGAATAACGACTCTGCCACCGTACAGAACACGTGCGTCGTCAATCAGTGTGTCCTGGTCCTATTCTGTAGTATGTGGAGCGAAAACCTCATTTAAATGTATGAGCAAGCCGCTGTCGCCATGCGATGCCAACCAAAGACGACAAAAGTCTAGGATTGTACTTTGTTACGTCCAGTGCGCTGAATGTCCAAATCATAGCTAGCCATTGGCTGGCTTTTGGGGATAGAATCCTGCTACGGATTTGCAGCAGTCGTTGGAAAACGTAGCTATATCTGTGAGAAGGTAGACCCAACACGTTGGTTTCGCACCCCGAGGGCGTATTATAAGCTGGACATGTATATAGACAAGATACCATAAGGTGTTACCGTTATAAGACTAAAAAAAACCGTAAAGTCGAGCGCTCTACTAGCTCAGGGTATGTAAAATACACAAACACTACTTATTCCAAGCGAGAAGACAGTGACTTATCAAACAGGCACCACATAGGAAGTGCATAATTTTTGGTAAAATGTACCTCAAGCTTTTCCTTGCAGTGATTACCGACATGCTACAAAGCCATACACTCTCCTCTGCAGGAAGAATAGTACTAGTCAAGAATGTCTAGCGGACAAATAACTTTTTTTTTAGATATTTAGCGTAAATTAGCATAAATACAAGATCACAGCAAAGCAAATATGTATGAATAATACTTCGCAATCATTAACTAGTAACATGAATTGTATATCATCAGAAACTGTGTTTATCTCAACGTGGATCAGATCAGGTTGTCGGTATCAAGAAAAGATCGTCTACTCAGGCAAAGCTATTGGTTTACTGTCAAAGTTCACGTCAGACATTATGACCCAATTTAGCTTTATACAGGCATTGCCATATACGATAATATTTTATTGATTATAAAAATTTCGGAAACGTATATGAAATGTCGTCGAGTCCAACAGTGAGTCATAGTACCAACCGTGTTGTGCCATTGGCCTGCTAGCTGAATTCGGTGTTTAATCTCTACTTTTCCAATGAAAATCAATAATTGATCTCTTCACTACAGTGAGCCATCAGACAAAGCCTGTTAATAGCTCCGTTTTGCCAGAAACAAATGCTGCGCGAAGAAATCACTTGGCAAGCAGTGACAGCGAGTCTGTCAAAAGCCGTAGCATCTACTTAGCTTCAACACATATAGAACAAACATACCCCCAAAAATAAGCGTGATTAGATAGAGGTGTTCGGAAAGGATCTAGCTACTGTCATGGTCATAGAGTTTATGTGCTAACGACATTACCATTAATACGAATCAAAAGGAAAGACTGGTCACGTATAGTCTACTACTACTACTACTACGTTTTGTGAAAACGCATCGCAGTCTTACGCGGTTTGTGTCAACAATGGCCTAACAACTGGGACGGATGAAGGGAAAAATAAAGGGCCACAAATAGGAAGCAACGCAGAGGTGACAGAGAAAGTACAGCTTTACCTATGGTCATCTCGACCGCTGAAGAGCCAGTGCATAATAAATGTGTATACAATAACACGATAGCCATCATCATCATCACTTTACAATGACGTGACGTAACTCATAGTGAATAAGAACGCCACGAATACTTCAACAAACCCCCTGACGTATAGCGTCTGCTGTTTATTCGTAACGGGATGATTCTTCTTATCGTTGGCATGGCGCCCCCCTTGCTGCTGCTGCTGCTGCTGCTCCTCCTGTTTTGGTCCAATAGCCTCCGGTGGAAAGGGTATCCGACCTATTTCAAAATCTACGACGGTTTTCGTGACGATAATGGCTTGCATGCTTCGGCGAAAGGTCATTACACGGTAGATGATAAATCTCGATAACAAGAATTTGGAACACACACATATAACTGATAATAACGATATTGAAAACAATAATATTAAAGTTACACATAAGAAACTTATATAGATAAATATGTGCGTATCTACAACTTGCTATCAAAAAAAACCACGGAATTGATTGCACCATCATTCACCTATGTACAGAAAAGCATACAATACGAATAATATGCGTATTCTTAGAGAGTAACGTGGAATTCAATCCAATGCAGGGCAAAGAAGGAAAACATAAGATATTCAAGCATAATAGGTAGGCAATGCACAGGACGCATAACCGTTCGTAAAAATCAACGTTTACTTACCAAAGTACATAAAAAGTACCCGCGCAGGCGCCAAACAGCGGAAAGCAATGGGAGAAAAGTAACATCAACATCACGCACCTGGGAAAGGTACAAACTCACGCTACAACTACCAGCTACAAGCATCCATGTCCGTTAAAGCTATATGATTATAACCCTATAATTGCTATATGTAGTTGAGTAAAATGCGTAATTTGGATCGAAGCAGGGCCGATGAACTAGGGGGATATACATTCACATATTTGCCCTAAAATACGTACCATCATATGAGCTGCTCCAAACGATATAAACATCTTCATTTCAATGCTAAAAACAGCTCTCAAAATCTAGATTTTTCTAGATTTTCTAGAAATTTCTAGCTAAGTATATAGATCATATTCATTTTATAGAACTAACGGTCATCGGTTTGTAGTTAGCCATGGGTTAGAACTACCGTAGAAATGATCTCCCCGTCACCTTTTGCACAAACCTCGTTTGTAAATATTATATCTAACATATTTGGCCATGCTCAGTGATTTGAACGGAATGATTTGATTGATTTGTTAGAACCTTCCTCCGCTATCACATAGCACTACCATCCGTTCAGTTATCTAACTTCCTAATGGAAAAGGTTGCGCCAAAACTGAAAATCGTAGAAGGCTAGTATCCCAATACCACAAGCAACAGTTGTCATCTTTTGGACGTTTTTTTTTGTTGCTGTCATTATTATTATTATTGTGATTATTATTATAGTGTAAATTAAAAATTATAAAAATCCAGTTCTCTAGTCAATATTGTATCATACTGCTGTAAATATGTCTGTATAAACAAATAAATATAATACGTGCATACGTGCACTAACTGTTATAAGATATAGAGAACTGCAGCCGGTGGGTCCTCCTTCTCCAGGGTGCGTAAAGCTGCTCATTTTCACAATACACACGGTCACTTTTTACCTATAAACATGACTGAAATATATCGCACACCATAAAGCGAAACAAACGCCACAAGTTACCCTCGTACGTGTATATACAACAGTAATAAAACATTTACGGAGACGAGAAACCTAGACTAAACCGATTTATCGATCAACTCAAACAAGACAGTAGATCTCTCAGCTAGCGCCTAACGAGATACGTCTACGTAGCTATACAATCTTAAATAAGACACTAACAAATTCACAATATCGACGTTTTTTTTTTTTTTCATATGTACGACGAATTTTATCATACGTACGTACGTACGTACGTACGTGCATTCGAAAAGGAAACTATCTAGTTTAGAATGCAGTCGAAACATAACAATACACGTAGACTCTATGGCTACCTACTTTCCGAACCCATTCGTTCTGGCTGGAACTGCTGAGTTAAACTACAAGATCCTTGAAAATTTGGCCAAATGTTGGAAAAACAATGGCCGTTTAAGCCATTTCCACGCGACTGTCAGCTATTGTTGCCGTTAATTACTGTATTGAGGTTGTACTGTTGTTGTTTTTGTATCTGTTGGCTTCATCTTAGACACGCGTACGATGCTGTAGTCATTTTATGCAGTGATGATGCAGACACTTTATTGTAATTTTTTTTTCGATAACAGAAGTATCGTCAATAAATAGGTGCGACGTAATTGATCTCAGCAAAGGAAAGGAAAAACAATTCTATTATTTGGAAGTTATAAAAAACCTACAGACTGAAGCGTCGGGTTGTTCGTTGTAAAGGAGTTGCTAGATGTTCGATATCTTACTCCGACGTTTTCAGTAAGTAAGGACGCGACCCGTACGGCAGGAATTTGCACACATTTATGGATACGCGTACATCTAACTACATGCGTCTAGGCAAACCGAACGAGGTTTATAAAACTATAATTCCAAAGGCAAAATGCATATTCATTAATACTAAATTATTATTAAATTTCGTTAAAATTTCGCACGTATTTTGTATAGCTATAGCTAGAGCTGCAGATCACTACAAAAAATACAGAGCATTCCGTGTAGACAAACATGCACAGTTGGATATTTCTAAGATGATAAGAATAAATCCAAACTAAATACAGTGTACGAACATAAAAATTAGCATAACTATATTGCTTGTTCTATTTACTGATGATACTGTTTGTTATTATAGTCTGAACAGCAAGACTGTTATATAAAAAGGAAAAATCCCTCTGTTCTACCATTTTATTCCTAACTCTTAGTGTTTTTTTGCGTTCAAGGTGGTTCTTGTAAACTGTTTGTTCGATATTTGGGGCTGCTTGAAAACCATTGGTAGAAGGTGAATCCCTATGAAAATATGAATAAATATACAACCACTTATAGAAAGGGCAAATCAATATGGCGGAAAATGTTATCCTATTATCGAACAGCACTTGAACAACCTTAACTCTTTCATTATATATATATATATATATATATATATATATATAGAGAGAGATGGGGAAGGAAGGGTACACGATGACGTAAAAC